TTCATTCCACTTCTTCCATATTGAATCTAGGTAACAAAACCTCTTAATATTCTATTTAGGTTTTTGTTTCTATTATAATCAGCATAGATTCTAACATAAGGATTGTTTAGAAACATTTTGGACTGTGGAACATAGAAATGGGACTGGGGAGCCCCTTGCCAATCCCAAGTCTCCTCTGCCAAGTCACTGCCACCAAGACATTGCAGAATAACTCAACGTGGACAATTTTTGGCAGGAACAATTTGGTATGGGCACTCAGATGGAGAGCCAAGAAGGTGAATAAGCAGGTGGGCAGAGTGCACAACAACAGCAGCCGGGACATTTCCATTTTCACATCGCCTACTGTCACTGCCATTGCTTCCATGCCGATGTCCAGGCTGTTCAATATTTTGACCATTTGGTGGTGGCAGTGGGTAGGAATGAGGTAGCAGCCATGGGCTTCCCATTCTCACATTGCCTGGCTACTCTTCCCCACTCACCACCCCACCCACCACTGCCACCATCAAATGGTCCAAACTCTGAATGGCCTGGAGATCATTCAGCACAGAGGCAATGACAGCAGCCAGGTTAGGGCATATGAGAATGGGAAGCCCCTAGACTCTGATGCCACCACTGTGCACTCTGCCCACTCCTCACTCGCCTGTCTGGCTCTCCTCACTCACCCACCTGCCCATCCAGCTCTCCATCCAGTGCCTGCAGCTAGTTGTCCCCATAGCTAATTGCTACCTTGAGGTGTCCTGCAGTGACCTGGCAGCATGAGTTAGCAGAGGCAACTTGGTGGTGGTGAGAGGGCCATCCCCAGCTGGCTGCTTGCAGCTGGCTGCGCTCAGTAATCCTAGACTCTCTGTGATCTGGAAGTCTTTCACTGCAGATCTCTTGCACTCATTCTATTTAACCTGTAAGAGAGACATGTTTGACTGGGTGCTGCAATCTGTTGAGACATTCATTTCAATATTAAGCTATACTGCTTAATAAAGGAAAATATTTGTAGCCCAGGGTTGAAATGAGGGGTCTGTGGTGCTCTCTGAGCTGGCTTGTTTTCTTGCAGATGTTTCATTACCCTAACTGGGTAACTCTGATGATGTTACAAGCCAGCTCAGAGAGTACCAGGGACCCCTATACTGCTTCTTTTGAAGTATGCATGTTATAGCTATTTGACAGTTTTAACCATGAGTCATTTTGTGCATAACTGAAAAAAGAAATCACCTTGCTTAATAGTATAGCTTCTCTAAATGGAAGAGCAAATGCTAATATACAGCTGTATATTAATAAAAATAATTTTTAAATCTTCTGCTTTTACAGTAATTCTGACCCCACACTATTCTACATGAGGGATTCTCAACCCCAGGTCCACAAACCACTACCAGACTGTGGGCCATTGAGAACTTGGCTACACAAGCAGTGGGCAAGTTTGCAAAGCTCCATTTGCAAGTGCGTAATTAGGTTATGCGTGCGATACCATCCCCTTCTCCTCCCTGCTGCTGCCGCCAGTCCACAAAGCCAGAAAGGTTGGGGATTGCTGTTCTAGGTTATGAATATTTTTTTCTATCAGAGTTAGAATTATGCATTATCTATTCAAGGTACTGTTTAGACATCCAACACAAAGACGTTTGATAGTCATTAAAACATGACCCAAAGGAAATATTAAGGTTTTACTATATGCTCTAAGATTGTCAGTGTTTCATAGTAATGCTGCATTACCATATGGAGTGAAATAAAATAAAACTGCCTCAATAACTGAGAATTTAGAGATGTAAGATAATTTACATTGAATTAAGCAGACACATTTAGGCTGGCCTATTTTGCCTGAAACCTTCTAGTTCAATGTCTCTAGAATAGCAATTAGTAACTTGACAATTGTACTCTTACTCTTACTATTACCATGTATCATGTGATACATTTAATAGGAACTACAAGTATCATGCTCCTATAAGCAACTGCTTATGATTACCACAAGCAAAATAAAATTATGCTTCCACTTTTTTTGCTTTCTTGAAGTGAATAAACTTGGCAGCCACAAATGCAGTAAAAGTGCTTCCAGATATAATCTACTCCCTCCTTCTCTAGTCACTTCCAGATTCAGTTACTATTATTTCTACCAACAGGAACATAATCGTTAAGAATCTGCAGGTGATACCAAAAAGTTTGTCCTTGAAATAAGATAAGACTGAGCATTTCTTCTTTCTCTTTTAAAAGATACACTATTAAAACTCTACTGGGCAATAAAGGGTCTGCAACATGAAGGAAAAAGATGCTTTGGAGAAATTTAGACGCCTTATCTCTTTTTTTTTGGCTGCAATGAAATAATTTTATAAAATTTATATTTTAAAACAGTTACTAATTGCAAAAGCTGCTCTGGAATAACTAATATTGCAAAGTTTCACTATAACAGTAGTTTAGGTTTTAAATATATATAAATGCTGGTTTTATATAAGAATATTAAGGACCTTTTTTTGGAAGAAGAAAAATAAGCAACCCCCCCCCCCCCCAAATATTAGGTAAGTGGTGGAAAACTACACATGGAAAGCAATGGGTGCATATTATGGCAAGCCTTAATTTTTATAACTATCAAACTAAGCCATAAACCATGGATAATAAAATACCAAATCTGTGTTCATTTATTCTAAATTCAAAGTGAACAATTAGGTTGTTGTATAGCATAATACAGGTGGTCCTAGAGTTATAACAGTTCATGTAGTTTAAAGTTATGACACTGAAAAATATGATTTATGACCATTTTTCATACTTACAACCTTTGCAGCATCCATATGGCTGACTTACGACCACAACTGAGCCCAAAGCTCTGTTGCTAAGTGAAATAGTTTGAATTTTGGTCCTTTTTCCAGCCTTTCTTGCTACAGTTGTTAAATGAATCACTGCAGTTTTCAAATCAATAACACAGTTGTAAAATGAATTTGTTGATGTTTGCTTATGAGAAGGTCGCAAAAGGAGATTACATGATCCTGGAACACCATAGCTGTCAGAAATATGAGTCAATTACCAAGTGTCTGAAATTTGATCACGGGGATGCTGCAATGATCACGAGTGTGAAAAAGATATCTCAATTTTTTCAGTGCTGTTGTAACTTCAAAGGGTTACTAAATGAACGGTTGTAACTCAAGGACTATCAGTTCTGGAAGTCCTCATCTTACAACAGTTCATTTAGTGACTGTTCAAAGTTACAACAGCACTGAAAAAACATAACACATTTTTCAGAGTGAGGATTTTTGCAGCATCCCCATGATCATGTGATCAAACTTCAGATCTTGGCAACTGATTCATATTTATGACCGTTGCTGTGATCCAAGGTCATGTGATCTCATTTTGTGACCTCCTTACAAGTAAAGTCAATGGGGAAGCCAGATTCACTTAACAACTGTGTTGCTAACTTATCAGTTGCAGCGTTTCACTTAACAACTGTGGCAAGAAAGGTCATAAAATGGAGCAAAATTCACTTAAGAAATGTCTCACTTAACTGAAATGTTGGGCTCAATGGTGGTCGTACATCGAGGACTATCTGTATTATAAAAAACTTCATCTGGAACCACACAAGGTCCTTTTCTTTTGTTGCTAAGTATTTCAAAACTGGGCACATGTAATAAGAGATTCTCCTGATAGTAAACCATATGCCTTCAAACTGTTTTAGAGATATTGTGGTCAACTTCACCAAGATTGCCTCTAATCATTTGTGATTTATGTATTGTCAAATAATAATCATAATGTTAACTTATCCATTGGACTCCAGATGCACTGCAATTGCAATTAGAAGTGATTTGTGCAAAAATGTGAATTTTTGTAGTCATATCCAGGATGGGCACGGATGGGCTTTAACTTTACAATATGCTGGTATTTCTTATTTTGGATATAATTTTGCCTGGGATTCCCTTAAAAATTGTAATTTTCTAGATAGTGGGTTTCTCTTTCCTCAGTGTGCTCAAGCAGTGGCCAAAGAGTCATTACTGGCAGAGATGCATTAAATTGGATTCCTAGATTGAAAGCAGACTGATAGTATATGATTCTATATCATCTATAATTCTATGTCATATGTAAAAGAGTGGGACTTCCAATTCACAAAACGATTGCAATGGTAAGCCTGACAAAGTGAAAGAAAGCTAAGCAGAAAACCGAACAGAAACCAAGAGAATATGCCTATGTTTGGCACCAAATTAACAACTTTAATCTTGAAATATTAAATTAAGAGGTACAGTTTTTTAAAAATGAAAGCAATATTTCACCTATTGTTTCATACATGGATGCAACTGAAACTAGAACGCTTCCTGCAAGAGTGTAAATAATTCATAGTGACAACTTCATAGGGAATATTGTCCCCGCACGCATTGATTTCATGGAGATGTAACCGAAAGTAACGAACTGGTGCCTTTACCCTTCATTGCGTCATTTGCTGGTCTCCTTTTACATCGTTTTGTTTCCCCGAGATGAAAGGCACGTCTTCAACTAAAATGGAGAAGCCTCCATCCCACCAAGAAGGGGGGAGATTTTCCAAACTAATTTCGGAATAAATGCAGCGCCAAAGCTCCTTGTTCGTGGAGCAAAACCAATTCCTACTGGAGGGAGGGCGAGGAATGAAACAAGCAGTAGTCCCCGATAAAGACAAGCCCTCCTCCTGCTCTTCTCCCCCCACCCCACGCCACAAGCCGGCAAATGGCAGTCAAGCAGGGCGGAACAGGAGAGAGAGCCGGTCACTCGCCCCGATTCTCTTCGCTGGGATGCGCAGGCGCGGGGCTAGCGGGGGCAGCGCCGCCTCCATCCGCACCTTCAAACAGCTTTTGCGGACTTTCGGCGAGCAGGCTTGCGCGAGGTTTCCTCTTTTCCTTGAAGCGGCCCGAGTGGGAAATCCTGAGATTGCGACGGTTGCCAATAGGCGACTGGTTCTCCCAAGAGTCTGAAGAGTTGGGAGGAGCGAAGAGGACCTCAGAAGGATCCAACGGCGGGATTTCTTTGCTCTTCTTTCTATTGGACAGAGATTTCCACCAGCTGCTCGGGGAGCTTTTGGCCCCGGCCCCCCCCCGAAGGGGCTTTGGCGGCACTACTGCTCTCTGCCATATTCTGAAACTAGAAAGCGTCCGGGTCTTTCCTTCTCTGTTAGGGGGGCAAGGGGCAGTCCGAATTTCCTAGGGGATTAAGAAAAGAAACAACGTTTCAGCGAATTTGCCAGGGCTGGAGCCATCACGACCTTCGGTGCAAGGAACGGAGGACTGTGGTTTTCAGGATGCGTTGTGTTTCAACACTGCTTCCTCTAGAACCTATAAGATCAACTCTGACTGGGGGTCACGATTTGATACCTTCGTACCCAGCTATATCTGCCAATAGGTTTGTAATTTTACTCCAGAAAAGCCACATTGCCTATGCCCTTATTGGGACGTATTCCTACCCTCCAATCATCCAGTAGGCTCGAAGAGTTAATATGTACTCCTGTGCTCATCAGCAATGCAATCCTGATTTTTCATTTTTTCAAATGTGCAGTAACTCCAGGTTCAGCTAACAACAGAGATATCTTCAGTATGGCTGATATTTACTTTTCTCAGTCCTAAGCAAGTCATTCAAATGACACTCATAAAAAATAAGTTGCAGCACTAAATTTTTAATCCAGAAAATGATTGGCGAACTATTTATGGGAGGCTATTATAAAATGCAATTAGGGGTGTAAAGGAAGGAGGATATGACTATCCCATCTACTGGGAACTGGGGTATATGAAGCATCTTATTAGCATCTTACTTTCAAGGACTTTATTTTTCTCAAGCGTGGTGCAGACTTTTTCAGTATCAGTTTTGTTCAAGAAGGGCTGTGTCCATGCCTAAACACAAGAGCAGAGAAACTATGTAAACTTTAATTCAGCCAAGGTACTTTGGAAAGTTAAAACCTTTCCATATGACATAGCTTCCTTTTATACTCATGAAATCATTAGCCATAGTTAAACCTTTCCAAGATTGGGCTCAGCAACCAAGAATTTAGTTGCTTAGCACTATTCATCCAAAGCTTCTTTAGTTGGAAGATTTAAGCACAGGGTATTTCCAGTACAGGGGTTTTACAATGCATAGTGCCTCCTGATAAGCTCAGCTCTAGTGGCAGACCTGTAGCAAAGTTCATTGCTGACAATTTGTAGAGATTGACAAAATGTAGCTAAAATGGTAATTTTTCAGGTTTGGCACTTTTGCCTTGTATGTTGCCCATGATGAGCAGTACCAACAATAAGATTTGAAGACTAATACCATGTTTTCCCCAAAATAAGAGCCTGTTTTATATTTTTTTTGAACTCTGAAATAAGTGCTTGGCCTTATTGCCATGCGCTCAAAAACCCGATGGGGCTTATTATCATGGGATGTCTTATTTGGGGGGAAACAGGGTAATAGGAAACGGTTGTACTGCCTCACTTCTTTCACACTACTTGTTAATAGACATGTACAAAGATTGAATTGAAAAAAAAATGAAGTAGTCCGGTAGGAGAAACAAAATTTTATACAAGGCTCATAAATGCTTTGTAAGAGTGCACTAGAAATGTCACTTAGGTCTGAATGAGCAAAAAGAACTTGGTCTTTAAAAAGAACATAAATGTATACGTTTGCAAAGTCTTCCAATCACAGAATCTTTCCCTATGAACAGTTTTACTTTATCATCATCAATGGATTCACACAACATCTAAAGCCATATTTTTTTTCCAAATGAAGGAAAGAATTACTTTTTTACTTGCAGGTAACCATAACTTACCTGCAAGTAATTTGAAGTGCATCCCATTCATTTAAGAAAAATGTCCTGTTAGTTAACCAACAAATAAATTGACAGTAGCCAAGTCAACAGTTTATAGACTTTAGGATTATCAAGTAGGATACAATTTACTGAATTACTGAGAAGCAGAATGGGGCATCTTCCTTCCAGCAATATGTAAAGTGAGAAATACTCAACCGAAAATCATTGTATATATCTAAGCATAGATTCCTAAAGTGTCCTTCTGGTAGTGAGATGTTGAGGCAAAAACAACCTGTTTCCATTAGTAAATTATGCTTGTTGCTAGTCATAGCTAGAGGGCCCTTGTTGCATTCTTTACCAGAATTTGCCCTTAAGGCAGATACTACAGAGGACATGGCAAAAGACTACACTTTATAGTAAAAGGTATTTTCAACTCTTAAAGTGGCACACAACTCTAGCTTTAAATTTATCAACTTTAAGATAAATCCTATAGTGTTCATTCAGTGCTACTGTCTCAAATCAGACCATACTCACCACTATACTTTTCTGCTGGGTCCTTCAGGATAGTCTGGGAAGAAAAGAGTCCTGTGGTATTCCTGCTTGCTTGTTGTATGTGCAAGAAGGCTGTTGAGGAATGGTAAAAGTCAAAGAGGGCAGGCATGTTTCAGAACAATTGAAAAGGTAGTGGGGGAAGCTGATGTACATATTTCATGGGGATTGCTTTAACTCCCATGAGATTTGAAGTGCAGCTCCATGGATCTGTGTTCAGAAGTAAATCCAAAGATATTTAAGGAGATTTTCTCTTGAGTTCTGGGGATTGTTTTACGAAGAGACGCATATAGGATTAAAGAACCCACCGGTGAGGCGCAAATCCGCAGGGATTCTTGAAAACACCAGACGGAAATCCTCTTCTACTGGCAGGACTATTCAAGAGCGCGGAGCTGAAAGCCACCTCTGTTTTAGCTCATGCAGCGCAACCGAGCCGCAAAGAGACTCTTCCTTTCACTGAGCACCAATACCACCCTCCACCTCCCGCGACTTTAGTACAAGGCGCTGGTGGAAGGCAGGGGGGAGGGTGTTAGGACCGGCACACACTCGGCGCCGCGAGATAGGTGAGTGCCGCTCGACAGACCCCCCCCTTTCCTCTTTTCCGGGAAGCGAGAGCGTGAGATGGAAGCAGGGCGCTTCTCTCGGGTAACACCTGTGGGAGCTGCCTGTGGGCAAGAAGGGAAGGCAAAGCTGGCTCTCACCTGTTCCCCTTGGAACTCACACGCTCGGTCTTGCTGGGTCACTAAGTGAATGGGAATAAACCCTCAGACCATCATCTCCGCGTCCCGCGGAGGGATTGTAGTTACCTGCCTTTCCTGAGAACCTCGCTACCTCAGCAACAGGCTGTCTCAGAATCAGCTGTCTTGAAGCGCCCGCCCGCTCCAAATGGGAGAGATCAACTTTATCAGGTGAACCGTGTAAGGTCGCACCGTAGAAGAAGCTAACTTACCCCGAACAGCCTCTAGAGTCGACGGATGGCAGCTGGGGAGGGGGGGAAGGAGTGTATAGTCACGAAAATACTTCTGTCCATTATTTTTAAATGCAACGTCGTACAATCTAACCCGCCCGACTCACTTTCTTCAGCGGTGGAAACTGTGCTGGGTACTTCTTGGGAAAACAACTAGGAGGCAGGTGTAGGTGAGCCCTCGAGTGGAACCCGCCCTTTTCTTCTTCAAAAAAGTGATTGGTTCATATAAAAAAGCAATTTGACAAGCGTTGGTCAGCAGTAAGTAAAAATTCAGCAAGCTCTAACATTTTAAATAACTGGCAAAGATAGCTATAACAGAGAGTAGGGTAAAAAATTATCTTTTGTCAATTTAATTGGATGTTGAAAGTTGCAGTTGACAAATTGGTTCTCTTCTCTTTTCCTCTTCCTTGTAAATTGAAGAGAAGTTGTATTTGGACTCACTAAAAGGCAGGTATAACAAATATTGATAATAAAATGCACGTGAAAGCTTATGGGAATAATTAAAGAAAGCCCCAAAAATTGAAGAGAAGAATATGGATAGCTATATTTCTTTAGCTTATTTTCATATGTAAATATTTTTCATATCTGTTTGGGGCAAGGGTAGAGATATACTTTTCTGCCTTCTGGAAGGGAAATTATAGTTTAGCATTAAACATGTTCAAGTAGAGACTTTAAGAGAGGGAACAGGAGTTGCAGTTCTAGGATTTTGTTTGTTTCTTAACATGTTAACATTGATACTTTAACATGACTTTAATGTATTCTGTTTGTAGCCCTGGAATGGCAGAATGAGTGAAGTTTCTCAGGCTAATCAATGTCAAACTGAGATGATCTCTTAAACCAGTATTTCTCAACTTTAGCAGTTTGAAGATATGTGGACTTCAACCCCCAGAATATCCCTGCCGGCATCACACATCTAGCTTGATGCCTCCTGGAGGCAGAATGATAGCAAACGGAAACAAATTTTTGATCTCAGAAGTACAGTTGAGGGTATTTTGACCTGGATTAGAAAGACAATCATAAATATAAATGTCTGAGCTATGAATAATAGCCTCAAAGATTTAAATTTTCTGTGCATCCAGCATAAGGTACTAATAAGCAATTCAGCTTATTTTGTGTTTATCCACTGGCATGTTTCAATTTCAGACTGATAAAAGCGTAGCTTATAAAAATAAAACTTTTGAACTCATCCCTTGCCCACCACCAAAATCTATAAACTACAAGCTTTCCCCAGTTATTGTATGCTCTTTTACAAGACTACCACTTTTTTCAGGTTTGTTTTAATATTAAAGATCTGTCTCTTCTTATCCAACTCTAAATGCATTAATAAAAGAATTTTTTTACTTTTTTTAAATAAAAAGAATATGAGTTGAGTTCTTTTAAACTATTACCAATTTGGTAGGCTTAAGACACAAAAGAGCCAACAAAAAAACACACAAAGCATATTACTTAGTTCTACACTCTCTCTTCCACAGTCTACTCACAGTTACCGCTACTCCAATACTTCCCCAGCTGTTTTGCAGCAGGCTTTTATAGTTCACTTTGCCTTGCTGATGCTGAGGAGAGGCCTTGAAAAGAACAAGTGAGAAAAAAAAACCAGGTGCCAGCAGTTTGGGGGCAGCCTGATCTCATGGTTATATGTCATTTATAAGGACATATTTAATCCTGCTTAAATACCAACATTAACATTCTAGAATAATAGAAAAGATAAATTATGCTTACTGCATCTTCTTTTCTTCTCTCTGCTATGCTTGTGTTTATTTATGCCCTGAATTGATTTCAGTGAAGTTTGGTCATGTCAATGACTTTGTCACCTGCAGTACTTCCCAAACATCATCCTCCTTTTTCAGAACTTAAGAAGCTTCTTGGATGAGATGTGAAACATTTTCAGAAAAAAAACGCCCAAGAAAGTCGAGCTGCCTTTTTTGGGGAAAAACCCCCAACACCTTTGGGATAACCGTGACTTGGATGTCCATAGACATCCCACTTCTTTGTTTTATTATTTCCTATCTTGCCTTATGTGTGGTCATTAAAAATGTGTTACATCAGGGACTATAGCAGTAGCTGATAACTTTCTGAAGCAGCGTTTGAAGCTGGTGCCATTATAATCATGCAAATGATGCCCTGAAAGGTATATAGAACTATCACTTCCATGGTGTCATTACTACCACAATGTCATTATGTAAGTGCAACATGCAATGTTCCCTTTGATAAGACATATAGTTGAACACACCTAAAGAATACCAGGTTAATAAAGACTGACATGGAGTGCTAAAATTGATATTAGGTTCTTCGCTGTTACTCTCTGACAGCTACATGTTCCAGGACAAGTGAAAAATGATTTTGTCCAAGCTCTATTTTGTTGATTCAGTATAATTGACTCCTTTAAACAATAGGTAATAAATAGTAACTGCATCAGTCTCCACAGCAAATTGGAATAGTCAGTAAAATTTGTCTAGTCTAATACAGGTAGTTTTTGAATTACAATCATTCATTTAGTGACTGTTCAAAGTTACAAGGGAACTGAAAAAAGTTACTTATGACTGTTTTTCACACGTACAACCATTGAGCATCCCCTTGCTGATCAAAATAAGAAGGCTTGGCAACTGTTTCATATTTATGATGGTTGCAGTTTCCCAGGGTCAGGTGATATATGACCTTCTGTGAGCTTCTGACAGTGGGGAAGCCAGATTTACTTAACTGTGTTAATAACTTAACAACTACAATGATTCACTTAACATCTGTGGTAAGAAAGGTTGTAAAGTGTGGCAAAAATAACTGTTTTGCTTAGCAACTATTAATTGTGGTAAATTGTGGTAAAGAACAGTAGTGTAAAAATGACATTTACAATATAGCAAGAAATTGTAGAAAACATGTATCCTTTCACTTCATTTCACTTTCTATTCTTGCTTTATTTTAGGAACCTAGGTTTATTTATAATCTTGATAATTTTTAAATAATTACACTTTTAATTTAAAGATATATAGATGTGTTCAATGTGTGGTAATATAAGACTTCAAATGGAAAAAAAGTATTCAATTCAAGCCACATTTGAGGCTGTTGATCATTATTGAACATTTTCACATTGTAACACTTTTGATGTGATATCTTGTTAGCAGAAGAGGAATATGTATATTTATTGGTTTTGCACAATTTTCAGTTCACACCTGGACTGTAAGTGTTGAAATCTGTCTGCAGCAGTGCCCAAGAGTTTGCTGCTTTTATCAAAATAATGAAAGCAGTGTCACCCATTGCGTTATTATTCAGGTGACACCAAGCTGGCAGGAATAGCCAACACTCCAAAAGATAGGCTTAAGATACAGAAGGATCTTGACAGACTTGAACATTGGGAGCTATCTAACAAGATGAAATTCAATGGTGAAAAAAGTAAGGTTATACATTTAGGCAAGAAAAACAAAATGCACAGGTACAGTATAAGAGGTACCTCGCTCAATAGTAGTAACTGTGAGAAGGATCTTGGAGTCCTAGTGGACAACCATTTATATATGAGCCAGCAGTGTGCAGCAGCTGCCAAAAAAGCCAACATAGTTCTAGGCTGCATTAACAGAGGGATAGAATCAAGATCACATTAATACCACTTTATAATGCCTTGGTAAGGCCACACTTGGAATACTGCATTCAGTTTTGTCACTATGATGTAAAGATGTTGAGACTCTAGAAAGAGTGCAGAGAAGGGCAACAAAGATGATTAGAGCACTGGAGGCTAAAACATATGAAGAACAGGAACTGGGTATGTCTATTTTAATGAAAAGAAGGACTAAGTGAGACATGATAACAGTGTTCTAATATCTCAGGAGCTGCCACAAAGAAGAGGGAGTCAAGCTATTCTACAAAGCACCTGAGGGTAGGACAAGAAGCAATGGGTAGAAACTAATCAAGGAGAGAAGCAACTTAGAACTAAGGAGAAATTTCCTGACAGAACAATTAATTAGTAGAACTACTTGCCTCCAGAAGTTGCAAATGCTCCAACACCGGAAATTTTAAAGAAGATGTTGGATAGCCATTTGTCTGAAGTGGTGTAGGATTTCCTGCCTAGGCAGGGGGTTGGGCTAGAAGACCTCCAAGGTCCCTTCCAACTCTGTTAATCTATTCTATTCTATTATTTTATAATTTATATTAATTGTACATTTTTGTAATTTTTCAGTGAATGATTGCAATACTTTGAAAACTTTAAATTTTACAAACATAGGAAAAATTATATTCCCAAATAAATATGTTGAAAGGATTCTGATGTGAGTTTGCCATAGGCAAAAATATGGTTAAATATTTAATCTTGGAGGATTTAGTTTGGAGTGTTCAGAATGTGCATAATATATTATCACAATATATATTATAAATAATGTACATAAATCACACACCAAAAAAACTGTTTTACTTGTAACAGTACAACAAGAAACTTGTATCACATGCATACATTGTGTTTTGTCTTTGGCACATTAGTAAGTCTTTGAGCACTGGAGTCAGCCTACCTGGAGACATACTGTATGTCAGGAAAAGAGTAAGAAAATGCATTTCTTATAATATTTTTCATACTGGATATTATGCAGAAATGCATTGGGAAAACATGATGGACTACTAAATATTTAATTTTAGCTTACGGGCTAATACCTACAGAAAGATGTAGTTTAATATTTTGTCTTTCATCATATTAGGAGTTTCAAAAGTACAGGTAGTTATCGACTTATGACCACAATTGAATCCAAAATTTCTGTTCCTAAATGAGACAGTTGTTAAGTGAATTTTGTCCCATTTTATAACCTTTCTTGCCAGAGGTGTTAAGTGAATCACTGCATTTGCTTAGTAACATGATTGTTAAGCGAATCTGGCATTGACTTTGCTTGTCAGAAGGTCACAAAAGGTGATCATATGACCCTGGGACACTGCAGCTTTGATAAATACGAGTTGTAACTTGAAAGTTGAAAATGGTTATAAGTCACTTTTTTTCAATGCCATTGCAACTTTGAACAGTCACTAAATGAACTGTTGTAAGTTGAGGACAACCTGTAGGGAAAAACTTGAAACTGGTTAAATATTGGAGACGGTTGCATCATTCTGTTAGAATATTTCACAAAAGTCTCAGTAATTTGAGCTATTTACTTGTATTTATTTACTGATACTGTGTATGTTGCCCTGTGACAGATCTGAGCAGCCCTCAATAACATAACCTCCAGTATGGTCAATAAAAATAAATCAGCATCAATAAAACCATAAAATTAAAAACCAGTCACAGGATCAACAACCAGTACTGTATATTGGGATGAATCACCTGCATCACAAACACACTGGAATATAAGTGTCTTAACTTATTGGCCAGATGTCCATCCTGATGCCTTTGTGGAGTTTGCAGCAAATATTTTCTCTTTGTGACCTAAGAGAAAAACATTTGTTGCTACCTAGGACTAAACTTTCAAGGTTCCATCTGGGAGGTGAGCATCTTTATCACTAGGCCACCATGCTGTTCCAGTTAACTATCTTCTGGGGATTTAAAAAAATAAAAATAAAAAAGAGGTCCATCTCATCCAGGGAATCAACCTGTTCCATGAGGCTGGAACAGCCAACGAAGAAGTCTGACTTCACAACCAGAGCTTCTTAGTTTCACATACCTTGTTACATTACACATATAGGAAGGGGAGTTTCAACCGAAGGAGGAGATGGGAGTCATAAGAGCTTTATTGGTTAAAAGTAGTACTTGAAGTTGCATCCTTTTTGTAGGATCAATGTACTGAGATGCAGCAGCCTTCATCTGCTAACAGTTGTTGCATTTTGCGGTAAATTCAGCTTCTGAATAATTTTCAAAAGCAGTACCAAGAAGAGTGCATTATAGTAATATCCAAGTGTAAGATAATAAAGGTGTGAATGAGTGTCACACTGATTAACTCTTGCATATAAACTATGAAATCTCAAAAACACATTGAGAAAGTATGTTTTTGTTTTACAATGAAAATAACAAATGGACTTAATAGGTTTATTTTTTTTCCATTTAAACTATCATAAATTACAAAGCATATTTCACTTCACAAAATAAAACCATTTCCATACTATTTTATAACAGTATTTAGTATATAGCCTACAACATTTAAATTTGTGTAACTTAAGAGAATTTCTAGGACTATTATACCAGCAAAATTATACCGTGCTGTCATCTGGCCCACAGCCTGTTTCTATCTAACTAGTCCTTGTTGATTTAGGTAAAGGATAATTAATATATATTGTTTTCCTGCCCCATTTGGTCTTTAATCTTATTTCATTATCAAAATTACACACTTATTTGTATAGAAACCTATGCTCCCTGAAATAATTCAGAAAACAGCATAATTGGCTTTCAAAATTTGTAATTCATACAAATCAAGAATACAGTTTAACAGCTTTTCATAGAGAAAATTCTGATTTACACTATACTATCTACCTGTGTTTGAAATATGTGTACAAAAATCTCATAAGTATGTATATTATTAGAATGAATTGTATTTATTATATTGACAGATCAGTCTCTAGAAAGACAGAATAAAATTTTTTGTAAAATTTGAAAATGTACCATTTCTCTTTCATTCATTCTCTCTCTATTATTAACACATTTGCCAAAATACAATGAAGAGAAAAGGCTTAATTTAACAGGTTTACTTTTATAAATATTGACCTCATTGGCATTTAAAAATAACAAAAATCTAAATAAGTGCGAACTTTTTACTAAGTTCAGAAATACGCAAGAATCTGGCATTATTTATTTTAAACGTAACTATACTATATTTCAAGAAACAAATGTTAAGTATGGTAGTTGATAGTATTGCCAATAATATTAAAAATTTTTTACAACATACCTCTTTTGAGAGGTAAAATTAAAACAAAAATTACTCTCTTTGCCACATCTCTACAGTAAATGTTCAGATGGATTTGAAGTAAAATATTTTAAAAACTATTTGCAATTAAAGAAATATGTCAGGATAATATTGCAACAATGGTAAATGTTTTCAATATAATATAACAATAATGCTTAAGAAAAATATACAAAAAATAATCAATGCACCGCATTGAATTATATTTTTGCTTGATAAACATCCCAAAAGCTAACATAAGTATAAAACATATTTATAAATACATGTTTTATTTTACTCAGACATATATAATTATGTCATACATGGAAAAATGTATATCCATATAGAAGTAACACTAATGAACATCCTGATGCTAATCTCTTGGACAAACTAAGACATTTTGGTATTTATTGCCTTCTGGTTCAAAATTCTGGATGATAACCATTTGTTACAATTATCTTCTGCAATGTTACAATGACTAAAGATATCAATTCATATCTTGAAAGTAATATTATGTGAACAAGAATATCACTGCGTTAATTGCCCTCTGTCTCTACATATAGTTCTACATAGAAATGCATGTATATAGACATGATCTATTTGTATATAATTATGTTCAAAGCTTCTAAAAAAGAGAGAACTAAAATTTGTAGCAAATAGATTTGCTACACATATGAACTTTTATAAGTTGCTGGGCTGAGAGAATTAATTTTAGTAGAAATTGAGCCAGAATAAGATTTGGGATTCAGCTCAACAGTACTTTTTTTGCTTCAGTGATCTAAACAAATATACAAAGTTTCTTTTCTTTTAATAAGTTAACTGAAGAAATCTGCAACCTTTCTACACAGGGACAAATTGGAAACAAGGTAAAAGATGAAAAGGGAAGTTTCTTTTTTTAAAAAAACCACCTTTTGTTTTTCTAACTTGGTGAAACATAGCTTTTACTAAATATTTTAGTGTACATTTACAAGACATATAAAATGAAACATTGCTCACAATTCTTTTCATGAGGATTTATTTGAATTTAATTTTCATTGCAGATGGTTATAAATTTAGAGCTGTGCTGTCTAAAACAAAACATCTTCATTTTCTATTAGTATCTGCACAATTAGCTTCTGGTACCGCATATCATTGAGTGTAGCAAGAGTGCTATCTTCTGGGGGCCTCATTAAAGTAGGCCCAAACACTATTCCCAGATTTTCAGCATTCATAAAATTTTCCTTTTCATTCATGGTAATCCTATAAAGGGAAGACAATATATATATATTTCTTAGAATTGCTTTTTAAAATATTATTTTTGGTTTACATGACCATTAATGAATGTATGTGAATATGTATATGTAAATGTATATGTATATGTGTATGTATGTATGTACCGTATGTGTATATGTATATATATGTGTGTGTGTATGTATGTGTGTATATATATATATATATATATATATATATATATATATATATATATATGCGATATTTTTGCAATCAGGGTTTTTTTCCTATGTTGAAAGATGTTAAAATGGCCATGGTGGGATGAAATCTCTATTCATCACTTTCAGACCTGTCAGACATTTTATGTTGTTTCTTCTGTGACTTATGGGAGACTGGGATAGCACTATTTCGGCCTTTTTAGACCTCTTCAGCCAGACACACCCATATTTTGTGACTCCTCCCTGTAGAGGTCAAATATTTATTTCTTTTGATTCATAGGTATAAATGTGCGATATTTTTGCAATCAGGGTTTTTTCTATGTTGAAAGATGTTAAAATGGCCATGGTGGGATGAAATCTCTATTCATCACTTTCAGACCTGTCAGACATTTTATGTTGTTTCTTCTGTGACTTATGGGAGACTGGGATAGCACTATTTCGGCCTTTTTAGACCTCTTCAGCCAGACACACCCATATTTTGTGACTCCTCCCTGTAGAGGTCAAATATTTATTTCTTTTGATTCATAGGTATAAATGTGCGATATTTTTGCAATCAGGGTTTTTTCCTATGTTGAAAGATGTTAAAATGGCCATGGTGGGATGAAATCTCTATTCATCACTTTCAGACCTGTCAGACATTTTATGTTGTTTCTTCTGAGACTTATGGGAGACTGGGATAGCACTATTTCGGCCTTTTTAGACCTCTTCAGCCAGACACACCCATATTTTGTGACTCCTCCCTGTAGAGGTCAAATATTTATTTCTTTTGATTCATAGGTATAAATGTGCGATATTTTTGCAATCAGGGTTTTTTCCTATGTTGAAAGATGTTAAAAAGGCCGAAATAGTGCTATCCCAGTCTCCCATAAGTCACAGA